AACCAAAAAATAAGCAGATGGTCCAGTTTCAGAAAGGATCCCCCAGTGTCTCAGATCCAGATATGAGCCCACACTCTTTAGATGCTGTATTTAGCCTCTTGAGAGGAATAGATGTTGATGAGTATGGGCCTCCCTGGGCTTGCCTGTAAACATCTGCTTGTCTGGGGCAACAGCATCTCCTCCAGGATCAGCCATGAAGGCACCTAGTGCTGGTCTGGCTATGTAGGGGCTTTGCATGAGATCGTTAAGCCATGACCTTTTCTCATACTTGTCTCTTTCCCACCAAGGTCCTTCTTGCAAGGAACCCTTGAGGAGAAGTGTTTTGCTCATCAAGGAAAGTATGTACCCTCCTAAGGACTCTTCCTCCCAGTGAGTCCCTGTCCTGTTCCTCCCTAAAGTACCCCCCATGCCTGTCCTTCCTGCTCCTGGGTGAATTCCTGCTCTGGCAGATTGCAAAGACATGCTTTGCTCCTTGTCCTGATCTCCTAGTCAGACTGCAGATGGCTTTTGAAATCCTAGCACAGATCTCTACCTCATAGGTGGTGTTTCTCCTGTTTCTTTAGCTTCTTTATTCTGAAGATTTCTACATTCTTGCAAACCCAGCATGCTTTCAGAGGAAGCCTCACCCTCTCCAGAAGTTCTCCCAGTGACCTCACCCTTTGGCTGAGGATAATCAGGGGAGATACTCAGCCAGCCCAGGATTGGGAGGCAAGAGGTGAGGGACTGCTCCTGACCCTGCCAGATGGCCTGCTGTGTGGCCTCAGATTCATCAGATGCCATCACTGGGACTGGGATGGGCAGTTGACTGGACAGAGTGGGTGTTAATTTAGAATATCTAGAAAGTATTTAATCAAGAAGCTGAGAAACCATTCAGATAGTGGGTAGCCAAGCCAGAGACCCATTATTGCTGAGTGGGAGTGTGGTTAAAAGACAGTAGGAAGCCCATGTAGGAAGAGTCTAGAGCTGAAAGCACCAGAGAGATGGGGAAGCCACATATAGAGTCACGTCAGGGTGACATGAAAGAGGCCAGTATTTGGGAGCCAGAAACCAGCTGGAGCTTTAAACACAAAGGAGCAATATAGATGGGCAGCACATACATGTGCAGCCCCACAGATTTGGTGGCAGGGCCTTTGCTGAGCATACTGGTCAAGCAAGATTTTGGGTCTTGGCTGCCTTGAATTCTTAGCCTGCATCATTTTCTATCAGGCAACTTGACAGCAATCAGCTAACAGTCCAGATCCTGAATCTAGGCAACTCCTGCAACATGCTCTAGCTTCCAGGTGCCCTGAAGCAGCTGGTCTACCTCCAGGCCACTCTTGGGTGTCCCGCCCAGGCAAGGTTACAGTCTGTGCTGGTTACCATCTGAATCTCCATGTGTCGCCTAAGTCTCCCCAACTCCTTCAAGTCCACTTGCCTGCATTTGTTCCTTGCCTGGCCTCTAGCTGCTAAGGCCCCCAGTCTTACCTTTAACCTGTCTTTCTACTATTTTGAACACACTTTAACTTTCCTGGTTTTGTTCTTTGTTTTTGTTGTGTTGTATTGTGGGTCCCCCCCCCCCAAAGGCTGCTCTTTTTCAGTTTCTTAATGGCCATTTTTTGGACTAACCTTGCTCAACACTTAGTATATCTTCAGGTGTTTTTTTGTTTGTTTTTTTGTTTTCTTTCTCTCTCATTAAACTTTTGTTTTAATGGGTCTCAAAATTCTGTGAGAGATTTTTGGTCAAGCTGTTTCCATTAAAAAGTACTGATTTTAAAAACTAATAACTTAAAACTGACACATACACACAAAAAAACAAATGGGCCACAAAATATTCTCCTTTCCTTCTGAAGGTTTTATGATGCATTGGTATCATTAATTGGTCTTTTACTATTAAACTTAAATGGCCAATTGACACAAACAGCTCTGAGACTGTTCTTCCGCTGCTGATTAAGACTGGGGTGGCAGGTATTGGGGATAATATCGATTTAGCCTTCTGAGCTTTCTGGGCAGACTTGGTGACTTTGCCAGCTCCAGCTGCCTTCTTGTCCATTGCTTTGATGACACCCACAGCAACTGTCTCATGTCACAAACAGCAAAACGGCCCAGAGGAGGATAGTCAGAGAAGCTCTCAACACATATGTTTGCCAGGAACCATATCAACAATGGCAGCATCCCCAGATTTCAAGAACTTGGGACCATCTTCCAGCTTTTTTCCAGAACAATGATCTATCTACTCCTTCAGCTCAGCAAACTTGCAAGCAATGTGAGCTGTGTGACAATCCAACACAGGTGCATATCCAGCACTGATTTGACCTGGATGGTTCAGGATAATCACCTGAGCCGTGAAGCCAGCTGCTTCCATTGGTGGGTCATTTTTGCTGTCACCAGCCACATTGCCACGACGAACATCTTTGACAGATACGTTCTTGACATTGAAGCCCGCATTGTCCCCAGGAAGAGCCTCATCAAAACTTCATGGTGCATTTCAACAGACTTTACTTCAGTTGTAACGTTGACCGGAGCAAAGGTGACCACCATGCCAGGCTTAAGAACACCAGTCTCCACTCGACCCCCTGGTACAGTACCCATACCACCAATTTTGTAGACATCCTGGAGAGGCAGACGCAAGGGCTTAACAGTTGGATGAGTTGGTGATAGAATGCAAGCCAGAGCTTCAAGCACTGTGGTTCCACTGGCATTCCCATCTTTACGGGTGACTTTCCATCCCTTGAACCAAGGCATGTTAGCATTTCGCTCCAGCATGTTGTCACCATTCCAACCAGAAGTTGGCACAAATGCTACTGTGTGGGAACTGTAGCCAATTTTCTTAAAGTAGGTGCTGACTTCCTTAACAATTTCCTTGTATCTCTTCTGGCTGCAGGGTGGCTCAGTGGAATCCATTTTGTTAACACCAACAATTAGTTGTTTCACACCCATAAGCCAGAAGGGCATGCTCATGGGTCTGCCCATTCTTGAAGATTCCTGCTTCAAATTCACCAACAGCAGCAGCAACAATCAGGACAGCACAGTCAGCCTGAGATGTGCCTGTAATCATGTTTTTGATAAAGCCTCTGTGTCCTGGGGCATCAATGATGGTCACATAATACTTGCTGGTCTCGAATTTCCACACAGAAATACCAATGGTGATACCATGTTCACGGTCAGCTTTCAGTTTATCTAAGACCCAACTTGGCATATTGAAGGAGACTTTTCCCATCTCAGCAGCCTCCTTCTCAAATATTTCGATAGTTCTTTTGTTGATCCCACCACATTTGTAGATCAGATGGCCAGTAGTGGTAGACTTGCCTGAATCTACATGTCCAATGACGATAATGTCGATGTGAATCTTTTCCTTGCCCATATTGGTTTAGGTTTAGTAGTGGTATTCATGACACCTGTGTTCTGGCAGCAAACCCATTGCAAAAAAGCCTATCTTCAGGTCTTTACTGAAACGTATGCAGTTATGTTTGGACACACAACAGTAATTTTCCCGTAATTCTTCCCTAAGGAAATGAAAGGATCTAAGGATGAGAATTTGGGATTGTTGCTGAGGTAGAGCACCCCTTTACTCTTCATAGAACATCCCAGAAGGCAGTGGTTCCCCGGGTGTGGTCCCGACCAGCAGCAGCAGCAGTGTCATGGGGAAACTTGTTTGAAATTCACATTCTCAGGCCCAGCCAGACCTACTAGGTCAGAAACTCTGGGCATGGGATCCAGCAGTCTGTTTTGATAGTCCTCCTGGAGAGGTAGATGCATACTCCTTTTGAAAAACCAGTGCCAAGGGCATCTGCGGGCTCAGTCAGTTAAGCGTCCCATTCTTGGTTTCAGTTCAGGTCATGATCTCATGGGTCATGGGATCGAGCCTTGCATCAGCCTCCATGTTCATGAGGGAGTCGGCTTGAGAGTCTCCCCTGCTGCCCCTTCCCCCACTTAATGTGCATGCTCACTCACTCTCTCAAATAAATAAATCTTTAAAAAAAAAAAAAACCTGCCATCATGAAGCAGAGGAGTCGTTGAAGTGCTCCACACCCTGCCCTGTTTCAGTGGAGGGCAGGGAGGGAAGCATCTTGCTAGCGCCCATCCAAAATCATGGGAAGGAGCAAAATCACCATGGCCTGACTTATTTGGCTGTTGACTCCTCTATGACCTGAAGTACCAATCCCTAATGCAGGGCAATGTGGGAACTGAGTCTTGTTCTGGAACTACTCACTTCAGGAGGAAAAGTGGAGAGGGAAGTTTGAGCAGCTTAACTTCAGCAATTAAATACTCAGTGTTCACCATAATATAAGGCTATGTTATTTTGCAGAATATAAATTTTTTTTTTTTCTTTTTGGAAGGAAAAAACAGGAGTTCACAACTTTTTCCCACTTTTCATGAACTGATTTGGGCTATGCTGCCCAGAGCCACTCAGGGTCAAGTTACTCTTCTCTGACCTCACACATGCCTTTTTGAAAGATTTGGGAGACAGGGTCTTCCTGGGAGAGGTCTCAATGGAGAAATGGGGGCCCATTCCCAGCCATGTCTGAATGAGCTCTGGGCCTCCTGACCTCAACAGAAAAGTCAGTATGGTTTCTGCACACTGTTCTGCTGTCTGTTCCAACTGAGATAGAGGTATCCTGTGCAGCCCCAAGGGAAGTGTGAATCCTGTGAAGTTGTGGCTGCAATGGAAGCTGTAAGGGAGGCAGAGGCCTGGCCTCTGCCTCAGGTAGCACTAGAAGGGCCAGGCTTCAGGCCTCAGCAGGAGTGCCTTTTTTGCCTTCATGGGCCTCCTCCTCTGTAACAAATAATAAAAAAATATATCTGACAACTATGTGGGTGTAAAGACAGATATAGTATAAGCTTGATTCATTTTTTCCTCTTCTGATTTTAAATTAAAAAATTTTCTTGGGCCTCTGAAAGGATGGTGGGCCCTAGGCACCAACACCTGCTGGGCCCATTGGGCAAGTCAGCCCTGCGGAGATTTGCTTTGAAAAATGCCTCTGATCTTACACCCAGAATAACCCAGCCCTTTGGTCATTCAGAAAATTGGCTGTGATGGCATCATCGGGTCCGCGGCCAAGGAAGACCGGTGTGGGGTCTGCAGCGGGGACGGCAAGACCTGCCGCGTGGTGAAGGGTGACTTCAGCCACTCTCGGGGTACAGGTGAGTGTGAAGAACAAGGGAAAGGGATCCCTGACCACTCCTGGAGGACAAGTGAGACAGAGACTCAAGGGGATACTGCAGCTGCAGGACAGCCTGTGGGTGTTTATATATTTTATTTCCTTTGCCCAAAGCAAAGGATCACATGCTTTCATCATTAAGGACTAGTCGGTGATAGATAGGTGACCCAGCACTTCAGTGTTATGCTTGCTGAAAGGCAAAGAGGAAACATTCTTGCCAGAATATCGTGAGGTTCCTGGAAGTGAATAGTTTGCCTGTGGAGCTCAGTGGTACTGCCTGCCCAACCAGCTCCCCTGAAGCTTCGTACCAGCCCATCTTCTGATGCACCACCTTGCCAGGACATTTTACCTATAGAGGAAGAGGTTTGCTCTGACTTTTCTGTCACTTAAAGTAGGATAGCATTTACACACATTCCCAAAATGTGCACGAAGCCTTCTGTTCCGGAAATCTGAGAGTGGCTTCTGCCGACCATGAATGCAAAGTCAGGGAGTCTGCTGTTTCCCAAATGTAGACCTCCCCCAACGCTGCGCTTAGAGGTCCATAACATTCAACTGATCAACTGATGGTCTTTTTTTTTTTTTTAAGATTTTATTTATTTATTCATGAGAGATAGAGAGAGGCACAGACACAGGCAGAGGGAGAAGCAGGCTCCATGCAGGAACCCGGATGTGGGATTCAATCCCAGGCCCCAGAATCACTCCCTGGGCCAAAGGCAGGCCCGAGCCACCCAGGTGTCCCCAGCTGATGGTCTTTTTAAGTCTTTCTGCTTGAGCCTCCTGCACAGCTGTCGGCTTCCTTGACCAGAGATGGGAGATGGGTTCTGATCTCTTGTCCTGGAGGACACCAGCTTCTGACATCCAGGGAAGTATCTGGGTTGATACATAATGAGGGGAGCAGGAGGCAGGCAAGTCATATGGGGAGAGAGCTCTTCTAGAAACCTATTTGTGTGGTCCCTCACCCCACATCACCAAGAGCGACATCACCAAGGTAGTTTGTTGGATGGAGCTGAGCTGAGAGGCCTCTATTCTAATTTGAATGATTGCTTTGGATAGAAGCTTTTCAGTTCAGTTTTACCCTCACAGGAGAACAAAATCCCACAGAACAGGCTTCTGAGAATGAGGTGGAGAGAAGTCTATACAGACCCCCATTTCTCCAGGTGGATGGAAGAACTGATCTGGAGGAAACATTCCTTCTCGATACCCTGCAGAAAGGGCAACCTATTGCACAAGCATTTTGCAGGAGCTGGTGAAAGCAAAACTAGAGGCAAATGCAAGCACAAAACTTAATTTTAAAATTATGCTTAAAAATTACATTTGAGGCCAGGTTTCTGGTTTTTAAAAGCAGGTGCCCAGCATATGAAATAGGAGACTCATGTGAGAATCTGTGGCTGCTGTGTGCCTCCTGAGGTAAACTGAAGATCATGCTAGAACCAGTCAGTTTGGGGGAAAAGTGCCCTCAGAAGCTGCATCCTCCAGGACAGTACCCACGGGCCACTTTAGTCTATTCAAATTTTAATTATAGTTAAAATTAAACTCAAAAATGCAGCCCTTAGTGCTCCAATCTCTAGTGCTCCATTGCCACATGTGGCAAGGAGCTCCTGTGCAAGACAGCCCACAGAGAGAACGTTTCCATCCCCACAGAAAGTTCTCAGTTGGGACACCTGGGTGGCTCAGTGGTTGAGCATCAAACTTTGGCTCAAGTTGTGATCCTGGGTCCCGGGATTGAGTCCCACATCAGGCCCCCACAGGGAGCCTACTTCTCCCTCTCCCTATGTCTCTGCCTCTCTGTGTGTGTCTCTCATGGATAAACTTTTTTTTTTAATGTTGAAAAAAAAAGAAAGTTCTCAAACAACACTGCTCTGGAACTTGGGTGATTTCTATTTGTTTTGACACGTCTGAGGCCACTTTCTCTATTGGGACCCTTAGCTCCAGTTTGCAGCGAGACTTTGACCTTGTCTGTTATGCCAGCAAGGGCAGCTAGGAATAAAACCTCTGCAGTTGGCAAGTGTTACTACTGATTAAAAAAAAAAAAATAGGAAGCACTAGAACCCTTTATTTAAATCAAATGTTGTGCTAAGCTGCAATAAACTGAACTGACTACAGTTGCTCCCTTACGTGGAAGGCAGGTCAAGCACAACTGTGCCCACTCCTGCCCCCTTGAGGAATTCACCAGAACACTAAGGCCATTTCTGCTACACACATCTTTGGAAACCTCCACTGCTTGCATAGCAGCTCACTTCCAAGAGAACCCCAATAGGGAAAGAAAAAAAAATCCTCTTTTTTTCCCCAGAGTCTAATCTACTTGTTGACCTTTAATCTTGGTATGAGTAGATCCATTCTTCCAATCATAGTAACCTGTTGTTGTTGGTTTTTTCTCTCTCTCTCTCCTTTCTCTGTCCTACCTCGTGCCTGGGTCCCATCTGTGCACGGGAAGAAGGGGGGTGTCAGGAATGTGCAGCCTTCCTCCTGGGGGGGTCAGGATTCTGGGGTCTGGCGGCCACTCCCCTGTGGAGGGACAGGTGGCCATTGGAAACCTCATGAGGGTCAAGCTCTTGCCACCCTAGCTCATGATATTTGTGCTTCCTGCCAGCTTCTGGGGCACAATAACCTTAGCAAACCTTCAGAGAAAGATAAGCACCCACTAGCTTCCCCCACCTGGAAAAGTTCTGTCCTTCTGAACAGTTGCCAGATGTCACACCTTTGTTTTAAAGTTTGAAGCTGTTTTTTTTCCAAATCCTAATGTTTGGGGCCTGTGAGCAGAAGCTCATATCTGTGGATTCTGCTTACTGTAGCTGTGCATGAAATGCTCACTCACATATGAATGCATCACTATTTAATATAGTTCCATCAAACACAAACCTATAATTGGGGTCTGACATTCTGGAATGTATGTATGCAAAGGTACAAACGGTTACCCAGTAAACATTTATTCAACACTACTCTATTTTAAGTATGAGATGTGCAGAAATAAAAGTTAAATGATCACTAAGTTGGTCACTGCCTGCAGAAGGAGGGTACCCCCAGGCAAGCAGCTTGAGTCCATGTGTGAGGTGGAGGCTGCTCAGTGGGGGGTGCTCTGGGGCCTCAAATTCTGGTGGGGTGCCTTGTCCCGGCCTGCTGAAAGATGAGGGTGGTCCCTGAGCCATAAAGGATGAGTAGAAGTGAACTGATGGTGGGGGTGGAGGAAAGCTATTTCAGGCTGAAGAAAAAACCAAACTTAGAAATGGTATAAAGCCCCCAGGTCACATCACATCTGGGTGACTCCAAGTACAGCCGGGTGGATTCACTAATCCTGTCAGTTTAGATAGGAAGGTAACTTTCATCTCTGCCCAGCTAGAAAGACTGGGAGAAGGAGGAATGTCTTATCACCCTTAAGGGTGAATATCAAAAAGAAATACCACACCACAGAGATAACAAGTAATCAAATTCAGGATTTTTGCCCAATTATATGAAGTTCTGACCCTTGCCTGAACTCTTCTGGATTTTTTCACTTAAGTGTTTGGGTTGAGACTACACTCGCATGTGTGTGCACGCACACACACACACACACACACACTCAGAATGCCAGGATGCCCCCCTCTTGTGTCCTTGAGGGATCACAAAGAGCAAATGGGAATATGGCATTCTGAGTGTGGGCTGGTTATTACCCCCCTGACATGTTGACTTCTGACTTTGGACAACCAAGGCCCTCAGCAACTCAGCTATAGAAGGGATCTACTCCAATGGCTATTGTATTGTTTCTCTAATGGATGGGCTTGAACATGTTCATGCCTTTGATTGAGTTGAAAGAGCTGAGTTTATTTTTAATTTAGTGATCTGAAAGTTCTTCGTAGGATGCCTCTATCTCATTCATTAAAGTATCACTATAACTATTTTAACTTTATTCTGTGCTCCTCCTTTATTCTGTGCACCTACAAAGGTGACTGGTGGCCCCTGAAGTCCCCCTGGAGAACACCCATAGCACCCCATGGGTTCTGAGTCACTTTGCACTTAATCTTAAAGAGAACCTTCTCAAATAATGAATTCTTAAAAGGGAAGGTGATGGGATCTATCCCTTTTGAGTATGGATAGATCTGCAAGTCACATATGTATTCAATAATTACCTTGAGAAACTCTGTGACATGCCAAGTTCTGTTCCCTGGGTGTAGGATATGGAGGTTCTGTGGGGGAAATTTACCCTGTATAATGACAAAAAAATGACTCTTTTCTCCACCGCATTTAAGAACTACAGTATCAGTTCCTTGAAATGTGCATGTAAGCCATTTACAGTATATTTCTTTTCCTCAGTCAAGAATAATCTTTGTATGAAGGTGTCCACATGCGTGATGGCAAAGGCTGTTCCCAAGTGTTTCTCATGTAAGATGTTTGTATGTCCTGCACAGTACTAGAGGTGACATGTCTGGTGTGGGACTCTTTCCTCGCTTCTGTGCCTGAATGTGTTCTGAGCAGAGTCAATGGGAATGAGTTGTGCATGAAGTCATTGGATAGACACTAAGGCCATTTATCACTGCTATATTATGTTTAAGACTGATTGCCAAAAAGAACTGTAGAATAAAACCAATTTTAAAGCTATAAAAGGTAAAGGGTTATGAGATTGGGAGACCAGAAACATGTATCAATGTGCCAGGGATACATCTTCATTTTCCTCAGTCACACCTGGCACTTTGGCAGAAAATGCTAAGACACACCAGAGAATTAGCCACAGGGGGCACTATCTTCCATAGGGAATCCTATCACAGAGTTGGACTTCCCAAAGGGCAGGGAATAAGAGCCTCCTGGTCTTCATACTGGAGATCAGGTCACGGCCTTGCTTTGGCCCACCTACACTGCTCTCACATCATTAGAACTGGACAAGGGTATTAGTATGACCCCACAGGCTTTCCAAACAGGTCTTTCCAGTTAGACCCAGAACAACCCTTAGGGATAAACATAAAGACAGTAGTATTCTCATAAACAGCTTTATTTAAAAAAAAAAAAAAAGGAGAGAAAACTATAAACACACAAAAGCCTCTCCAAGCATTCTGTAAAACAATTACCCCTCACCCCCCCCAAAAAAAAACCTGTTGTTTCTTTCACATGTTTGATACAGACTCGTGAAAGAGTTCTAGACCACCTCACCAGAGTTTTACCTGTATTCCATCATGGTACCTACCCAACACAATTGTTTCCTTCCAAAGAAAGTTAACGTTACTAAAAAACCAGGGAAAGGTGTGGCCACATCATCATCTAAAGTACTTGGGGAATTCAGACAAAAATTATTTTGCAGGGGAATGGGTTCATAGCCCGGTCATATTAACTATTCAGAAAACTTGAGATAGATTTCAGGTCAACATCACCTTGATGTCCCTTTGAACAACTCATCCTTAGAGCAAAAATGACATGTTCTCCCAGAAAGATGGCAAAAGGCACTGAATTTTATCCATGGCTTCATCATGGAACTAAAATCATGTCCCTCTAACTGGATTTCTCTTGCTTGATGGCAGAGACTGGAATGGAAAATTATTCCAAAGATAAAGTCTTGCCTACCCTACCTAAAATGTGACGTTATCTTGTGAATTCTTAGAGTACATCCATCCCCCTTTAGTGATTTTTCATGCCCAGTCAATATATGGTACCTGGCATCTGCATAAGGGACCGTCTGGTATGAGGGATGACAAGGTACTTTGGGACTTGGTTATGGGCCTCTTGCCATTCCTGGTCACTCTTTACACCAACCTCAGCATGGGCTTTGAGCTGTGGGTCAAAGGAGGGGGCCATCAGAAAGAGGACAGTGAAGTAGAGGTGATTTCCTTGGTTTATGAACAGAACACCTGCCTTTTTTTCCCAGGGATTATCTCTTTCATTAGTTTTCTGCATATCTTAGAAAAGTTAGCAGAACCCACGTGTGGGCAGTGACTCCCCTGGCCTATTACTCAGAGGTCACCTGAGGGTGAGCCTCCCCTGATTATGTGTATACCCTGAGCTCTTCACTGCTTATCTGCTCTGCCCCCAGCATGCTTGAGAGAGGAGAGAAGACAGGGTCCTTTTCAGTGTTACTTTTTTTTTGCCAAAGTTAAGTTTAAACATAGGTGTGGTGACCATGCATTGGTCATAAACATACTACCTTGCTGTGGAATGTGGTAAATGAACAAATCTGGATCTTGGCAGATGGCATCCATTGCCTCTAATCCTAACAGCCTCATCATGCTAACACCAAGATTTATTAGTCACAAAATAGGAAGATTCCATGTAACAGCAGCTTCTTTCCGAGAAGAATTCAGCTCCCCAAGCAGATCCTGTTCCCAGGTCAGTTGTGTAGTTGAAATGGAGATTCCTCCCCAGAAAAGGTTCCCCTTCCAGTGACCCTGAACAATTTTGTCTCCGTTGTTGACACTTTACTGTCTTGTATGCCTAGAATCCAGTAATTCTTCAGACTCCCCCAGAAGGAATGAATTTCTCTAAGAAAAATTTGTGGTACAAAGCCGAATGTTATAATCCTAAAAGATGTGTTCATTTGTTTTGTTTTGTTATGTTATGTTTGTTTTGTTTTGTTTTGGTGGCCAGACTTTTTAAGTAGAAAAGCCTTGCTAGAGCAAAAAACTGTTTTCAATCACGAGCCCCCTGCCTCCCCCTGTGAGGACTGGACAGTGCAGGGACCATGTGCAGTCTCTCCGGGCAGGCCAGTGATGCCATCCCCTGTGGGAAGTGTCTAGAAGGAATCACCCTGGAGGACCACACACCATCTGGTTAAAGTCACCCTGCCTGGGAATCAGGATCAGGGCGCAGAAGTAAGATAACCACTGCCCTCAGACCAAACTGTATTTATATCTGTGAATCCCCCCTAAGCATTAAGTAGAACATGTATGTGTGAAACTTCTGGAGCTGAATCTATGGTAACAACACCCAGGTATTTGCTGTCAAGACTGACAGACACTGCTTAACTTTCCATCCAAGATGGCTGGCTGAAGAATAAGTGTTTCCACTCTTCCCAGGCTCACCTTAACAACGATGAAAAGGAACTTATTAAGAGGTGCCTGGGTGGCTCATTCGGTGAGTGTCCCACTCTTGATCTCAGCTCAGGTCTTGAGTTGTGAGTTTGAGCCCCACATTGGACTCCACACTGGGCATGGAACCTACTTTTAAAAAAAAAGAAAAGAAAAGAAAAGGAACTTATTAAGAAGTTTAAGGGGAACAAGGACATCTCATGCATAGAACCCGAATAATAGACTTGGATTTGCTGCAATAAACAAACAAGACACAAATCAAAAGCCTCCCAAATCTCAGTGGCTTAACACAAAAGTTTATTTCTTGTTCCTGCTGCATGTCCAACATGGGTGGTAGGAGGGTCTGCATATTTGAGCCTCTTATGGACTGGGGTTGACAGATTTCATTGTTCAGAAGCTGTAACAAGCACCTCGGCTGGAAAAAGGGAAGACAGTAAATCAGGCCCTGATGTTCTTCAAGCTCCTATGTGCACATCACTTTCACTCACATTTTAAGGATCAAAGTATGTCACATGGTCACAAAGTTTTAAGAGGGCGTGGAAGTACATCCTTGTCTTTTCTGGACAGACACCTGGAGATACTTGGTGGCCAGCATCATGACATAGAACCTGCAGAAAACATTTTGCTGTTTCTGTGGTTAGCACCCAACAACGACTCCCTGCCCCCCAGCTGAAAGCCAGTCCTGATGGTCAGCCAGTCCTGCCCATATTCACAGAGACAACCCATTTATAGCATCCTTCCTGAAAGAGCTTGCAACACAAATGGGAAAGACCAAGGAAAGCTGAAAGGAGGACCCATGGGGAAAATAAGATCACTCAAGTAATAGAAGTGAAAAATCTATACCAACTATTCTAAAAAAAATTTGAGATGTTACTGTATTCATAAAACTAGTACAGAATGTGAGGTGCCTGAGTGGCTCAACTTGTTAAGTGTCTGCCTTCAGCTAGGGTCAGGATCTCGAGTTCCTGGGATCAAGCCACACATCCAGCTCCCAGCTCAGAGGGAGACTGCTTCTCCCTCTCCCTCTGCTGCTACCCCTCCTTGTGCTCTCTCTCTGTGTCAAATAAAAAAAAAAAATCTAGTACAGAATGAGAAGAAGCCATCAGAAAAGAAAAAAATCTCAAAAGTATGACTCTCAAATTAAAAACGTGTAATAAAGGGCATCATAAAGAAATGATAAGTAACAGACAAAAAAAATGTTTGCAATAAGTTGAGTAAGTAGAGTTTGAGTTGATAAATATAGTTGATAGGTACTAAGATATACTTTTAAAATTCCTGCTGATCAATTAAATAAAAACAAAAAGCCAGTAGAAAAATGGGCAGTGCTTATCAACAAGGCAGTTAACTGAAAAGGAAGTACAAATGGCCAATCAATATGTAATAAAATGCCAACCCACACTGATGAGAGAAATGCAAATTAAATCTCCCATATAACTTTTTTTTCACCTATTGGATTAGCAAATGTTAAGAAGATGGATGATTTCAAGTACTTAGAAGTCTGAATAAACAGACAACCTCATAGAGTGTGGGATGACATATATTAGTCAAGTTGTTATGGAGGGCAGTTAAGCTATACAAGTAACATTTAAACTCATGTATATTTGACCCAGCAATTCTCACAGTGGATCAGGTAGGACATGGCACTGTTCACTGCAGTATTATTTCTTTTTTTTAAAGCACCTTTCTTGAAATATAATCCACATACCATAAAATTCGCCCATTTAAAATGTGCAATAACATGGGTGTGTCGCACATGCACAAAGTTGTGCAAGCATCACCAGTCATCCTAAAAAGAAACCCCACAGTCAGCAGTCATCCCCCATCTCCCTCCTACCCTGGCCCTCAGCAACTACTCTCTCTGTCTGTTTCTCTGTTCTGAACATTTCATATAAACAGCACACACTCACACACTATATGTGGTTCCTTTGTGGACTGGCTTCTTTAACTTCACATAATATGTCACGGTTTGTCCATATTGTGGCATGTATCAGTGGCTTCATTCTTTTTATTGCTGAATAATATTTCATTGTGTGGTTCTACCACGTGTTTTAAAAATACATTCATCACTTGATGGGTATTTGAGTTGTTTCCACCTTTTTATTTTTTTTAGGTATTATGGATAATGCTGATGTGAACATTTGTATGTAAGTTTTTGTGTGGACATGTGTTTTCATTCTTCTTGGCTATATACCTAGAAATGGAATTGGTAGATCATATGGTCATTCTATTTAATTTTAGGGGACACTGCCAAGCTCTTCTCCAAAGTACCTGTACCATTTTACATTCCTACTAGCAATGAATGAGGGTTCCATTTGCTCCACATTCTCTATAGGACTTCTTGTCTATTGTTTTGGTTATAGGCATCCCACTAGG